ACACACACACACACACACACACACACACACACACACACACACACACAAATGCAATGAAAAAATTAAGAAAAGGCCACAGCAAGACCTAGTCCATGATTCAGTGTTGCAAAAAGAGAACAGAGGATATTTAAGCCAGGCCTGGAAGAATAGGAGGGCCCACCAGCCTGTGAGGCAATCGGACTCTCTTCTCCCTGGACTTCCTAAAAAACTCAATCCAGCTCCCTGTCCTGAAGCAGGACTCCTTAGCGCTCATCTCCAGGTTGGGCTAGGAGTCTGGGGCGGGCGGCTACTTCTGATGAGTGCTCTGATAACTGTCTCTTCTATCATAGGCATTAAGCACAAACCACTCTGTGCAAGACAGCTACACGGCAGCCTCAGGGCCTGTCACTCACGCCTCATGCCCCATCCAAACCTGCTCAGATGACTGGGTGCTGGGTACATACATGTCTACGTGCCTAGCCGGTGGGGTCAGGTTCATATGAGTACTGAGCACTTACCTTCTTCTCTAGTGAGAGCTGAGGACATATCTGTAGAAATGAAAATTTAAACATACCCTACCTTCTAACCACTGTGCTGAACTTACAGATGCTGAATGTGAAAGAGAGCAGTGGGGAAAGATCAAGAGGGCATCGAATCTAGAGGACACCAGAAGGAAATCAACAGAGTAATTTCGGCTACACTATAATTTACATAGAGCTCCAAAAAGGGGCCCCAGTGAAGAGGCACGCCTCTCCCCAGAGATACCCTGTGGCCACAGATGTCTCTGGAAGGACAAGCCCAGGCAGATATAAGTGTGGTGAGCTGTCAGGAGCCGGGCAGGGCCTGGCTTCTTTGTCATGGCACTGATGAAGCTCCAGCCCGTTTCTCACTGTGGCCTTTCCGTCTCCTGGAACTTGACACATTCTGCTGCACTGGGAACATGGGCTTTGGAGCCCAAGTCTCACAGACCAGAGGCAAACGACTTCCACCTCTTTCTATGTCTCCGCTTGTCCACCTGGGAAATGGAGATGCTAATTGTTCCTGCAAGAAATAGAAACCCATCTTGCTGTCCTGCCTTTTGACGAAGATCAAGCACATACAGGATCCCTTGAGGGCAGGGGTCCTTGTTGTTAACTGCTGTCCTGTTGCCTAGACAGTGCCTGGCACACAGGGAAGGGCTTGATAGACGCTTGCTACTAAATGAAGATAAGGCACATGAGCAGTTCCTAGGATACCCCGAGCTTGGTAAATGGCAGCTGTCACTCCTGTCACTGTTGTGACTGCCCATCACTGCCCGCCCCCCTTTGAGTCTCAGGAACCTTCTCTTCAGCTCTGGTGGTTCTCAATTTAGAATGAGAGGAGCGGAGCTATATCTGCTGGCTCCAGATCTCCAGGAATGTGGGATGTCTCTTCTGGTCTTCTCCCTCATGTGTGGATAGCAAGAGAAATGGGGAAGTGGGCTGGTTCCAAATGATCTTCCCGGATGCAGGGATGAGGAAGTGAGGAGGCCGGACAGTTAGAGCCACCCAGCCAGGAGAGGGAAGGGGCTTTAGGGCAATTTGGCAAGAACACTGAGGTTCTCCCATTCAATCACACAGCCAACAGCCTCTCCCTAGCTGATACCATACCGTGTCCTAGTTTCCCATATGCTCTGGGATGCCCGGGGACCCAAGTGTCTCAGTGACCCGGGCAGACTGCCACAGGTGCAAGACCTTGGACCAGGACTATGGGAGAGGAATCCACACGCCCACATTGCATACATGTAAAGTTATCACTCCGCAGCACCGGCCCTGCGGGCCTCCTACATCCTGAGCTCTCACTGGCTCCTGAACAAAGTGGTGGGGACTTTGGAATGTGAAGCTGCTATTCCCATCTCCCACCTCTGAGCTCCAAGTTTGCCTTTGGATTCTGGGGAGTCCAACCCACCGCCCCACAGTTTCCAAAGTATCTCACGTCCCTGTGATCTCTCCTGTCTGCCACTCGCACTGCCTGACAAGTAAAACTTCACATCAGCCGTAAGCTCTGGGGGCCAAGGCTGGGACCTAGGCCGTGACTGCTGTCACCTCGGAACTGAATCAGTGCCTAGTGAATGCCAAGACTAGATTAGCTAGGGAAGTTAGTTCAAGGTCTGGACGGGCTGACCAGGAAGGGAATGGGCAGGAGGGCATTTTGGGATAGGGAAGGGGACAGCTGAGGGGTTGCAGATGGTGTAACGCAAAGCCCAGCCACCCTACGGGAGGCCTGGCTCAATGCCAGGGTCCTCCTTGCCTCCACCCTCCACAGAAACTCCCTCCCTGCCTCTTAGACCTCCTCCCACCAGGGGTCTGGCTACACCCCAGTAAGTTTTAACAAGGCACCCCTCCCCTTGGCAGAGTTCACAGGGGAGGTTTTGTCTTGCTCAGCCCAGTTTCCCCAGCTCCTCTCTCCTTACTGACCAGCTGACCACTATTTCTGTTCCCCTCCCAGCCATCCTCAGCGGTCCTCCAGCACCCCATGGCATCAGCCTGGCTCCCTCGGCCTGACGTGGGAGTGTCTCAGGGCTATTCTTCTCAAAAGCAAGGAGGGGAAAGAAAAAAAAAAAGGACAGCTCACCCTGACCTGTGTAGGAAAGGGTGAGATAAGAAGCTACAACAAAGTTAAAACAGACAGAAGCCAGCAGAAGAAACCTTGCTGGCTTGGCACATCACAGGCAGCTTGTGATGACTTCTGCCCTTGACCAAATCCAATGACAATCTCCCTAGACTCGAAGAACTCACTCCAAGGCAGGCACGTAGCCTTTAATCATAGAACTTAGGAGGCAACGGCAGGAGGATCTCTGAGTTCAAGGCCAATCTGGTCTATCAATATAGGGAGTACTAGTACTACACAGTGAGACGCTGCCTCAAAAGTGAAAACAAAAAACAAAGACCCTACTCCATCAGAGCCCTAGGATGAAGCTTACGGAGAGAGGCAATAATGCAGGCCCTGCCCTAAGGGATCTTCCAGGCTAATGGAGACAGAACACAGCCGTCTGTGAGAAACTTCAGAGGGGCTAGGTGGTAGCTCCTGCTTGAGGAGGCTCTTGTCTGTTGGGAAAGTCACAGCTCTTAACCTGAGGGAATGCCCCATCCTAGCCTTCTGCTGGGGCAAAGGCCTGGGGTTGGTGAAGAGCTCTTCCAGAAGGTACATGGCAACTTAAAGGCAAAAAGGTACCAAAAAGTTCACATTCCCACAGTGCTGGAGAGCTGGCTCAGCGTCAGGAGCACTAGCTGCTCTTCCAAAGGACCTGGGTTCGATTCCTGGCTCCTACACGGCAGCTCACAAACTCTGGTTCTGGAATACCTGATGCCCTCTTCTGGCCTCCGCTGGCATCGGGCATGCAAGTGGTTCACAGACATGTATGTAAGCAAAACACCCATACATATAAAGTTTTTAAATAGACTTCACATTCTTAACCCTTTTCCCTCAGAAAGGAAAAAGCGAAGCAGAAAGAGCAAGAGGTCAACCCAGTGGCATAAACCAGAGCTGCAACAGGACACTGCCATGCCTGTTTCAGTAAGGGTGAGGCCAAGTGGGCAGTCTGGAGCCAGGGAAAGGCTTGACTTTGGGAGAGCAATCGGGCAGAACCAGGGAGGCCTAGAGCTAAGGTTTCCAACCTTACTCCAGGGACAGCAACAACACCTCCATTGATATTTTTGGTTTTCAAAGCTTTGGCACACATATTATCAAATTTCTGGATCCCCCTTCCCTTCTCACTTTACAACCAGGAAAATGAGGACCAGAAAACACAGATAGGCAGCTGCTTGAGCCCAAACCAGCACTTTTCCAAGCCTTAGCCTGACAGAGACCACCTTCCTACATCCTACACAGAGGCCAAGGGAGGCTGGGCCCAAGGGTGGTGGCACCGAGGAAATGCAAAGCATGAAGGCTGAAAGCAGCTGTGTGAAAGTGAGGTGAAAAGGTGGCCTGAGGTCAGGGGCAAAGTAAGCGGCCGTAATTACTACACATTTTAGAGAAGGATGGACACAGGATGGACACTTGTTAGCATGGGCTAACAAGTGAACTCTGGAAGTAGGAAGCAACAAGAGTTAGGGTACCAAAGAGAGGGGAGGCACAAGAGTTCCTGGCGCTGTGGCTGAGATCTAGGGGTTAGGCGCAGGAAGTAACGTGGCAAGACTTTAATGACCCAGATACTTCAAGAGTTTTTGGTATCTGGGAGTCAGAAAGTAGCAGTGTTAGAGATCACGGAGCAGAGGAACACGGGGCTGTGCTGAGCCCAGGAAGCCCCCGGATAACTTCCTTTAACTGGGGACCAGAGCAAATGAGGAGATGGAGTAATCCTGACCCACGTCCTCTGGGAGCAAGGGAAGGGCCTTCGACAGAGAGCACAGCCATTGCAAGAGGGGGAACCCGAGAGCAGACAGCAGCCCCACCTGTGACAGCAAGAAGAGAAACCACAGTAAAAACGTAATGGCCTGACTTTGCCCCCTACCTGTACCCGTTCTGAGTGCAGGGACCACAATTGTACTGTTGGGTCTAGGGGAGGAGGCTAGGCCCTAGGTTGTGTAGAAGAGGAAACACCACCGGCAGAGAGGGGAAGTGACTTATCTACCATCCCACAGAAACTCAAGGCCTGGCCTAGAGGGAACAGGCAGCCTAGCAGTGGCTGCAGGAAATACGCAAGTGGACACTGACAGGAATAGGGGTGGCTGAGCTCACTGAAGACTCCAAAGCTGGCCTGGGGGGGTCCAGGTGGGGAGGCTTCATCTTTCTTCCCTGCCCTTCAAGGGATAAGAGAGTCTTCTTTTTACTCATTTGACGAGCATGGAGTAAGTGACTGCTGTATACTGGACCCTTGGACAACGAGAATGCTGCGAGAATGCAGTTTGTGTGCCGAGGGCAGAGGATGCTCAAGGGGCATTGCTGATCTACCAGGTCAGTTAGCTGACCTGACCCTTCAACTAATATCCTCAGACAGACACAGCACAGGAGCAGCGGGCGCTCTCCTAGAGACGTGCACAAGGAAGACAAAAGCAATTTCTTCGGTCCTGCGATCCCGTTACAGCCTCAGATTCCTCGGGACAGTGGCCCAGGACCCCGAAAGAACTCTGATCCCTCAGAAGCAGACCTGGCCGAGGGAGGAAAGGAAAGCCAAGAAAGGGTGTAACGGGATTCTAGCACAGCAACCCAGTCCACTTTCCGCACGTCACCGAACTCTCCAGAGCCTCAGTCTCCCCATCAATCCAATGGGAACCATGACAGGCACTGTTTTCCAGTCCGTGAGAAAAGCCCAAAACACAACCCAGGATATCGTCGGCGAGGCGCAGGACGAGACCTCCACCCCGCACCTACCTCATCGGTCCAGGAAAAGAGTGTGCAGAGAGACCCGTGAAAGTGGGGCGGGCGGGACCCCAGCCCAGCCCCCTGTTCCATGTGGCCCAGCCCTCACCTCCTCCTCCATGGCGAGTCTGTGCGGTCCGGCGGCTTTGCGGCTTACTGATGCCCGTGCCGCGCGGGCTCCGCTGGCTCCATCTACGCGTAGCCGGGCGGCGGCTTTGCTGTCTTCTGTCCCGCCGGCCGCCCGGGGCCCAAGAAACTTCGGGGGGCGGGGCCGGGGCGGGGAGGGGTTTCCGGGGGCTGGGGTCGGGGCCGGGGGTTGTGCCGCGGCGGCGTCCAGCCCCCGCCTGCGGGGCAGCGAGGACAGCGGCCGGGCGGGGGCTCGGGGGCGGGCCGGGCGGACCCTGGGCGGGGCTGGCGCGGAGCTCCGGGAATGGACGAAAGAACCCGGGCGGAGCTGAAGGAGCAGGAAGAGGGCGGAGACAGGTTTCCCCGAACCCAGGCGGAGAGAGGCACTGGGAGGGGGTACGGGCTGGGGAGGTAGGGGATGCTGAGGGGGAGAGGGCTTCCGGCCCAGGGGCGGGGGGAGGGGAGGGGACGGCTTGGCGGGGACGTGAGGGCGTGAGCAGGGTGCGGCGGGGCGGGGCGGGGCGGGGGCGCGGCTGACCCGGCGAAGCGGTGGGTAGCTGATGCCTTTGAGGTTTCCTAACCCAGTGGGCTCGGGTGGCGGGACCGGATCCAGCTGCCAGGGCAGTTCAGCAATGAGTTTACAGAGAGGTCCGTCTTCTTTCCCCTCCGCAGTAGTGGCGGCGGTCTCTGGTCTGTGGAACTTCTGGGTGGGGCCCGGCCGTGAGCTTGGGGTTCATGGCCAGAATAAGAGTCTGACTCGGTTCCTTTATGGAGCGTGTATGCCTTTGGCTCTCTGAAATCCCAAACTCCGTGCTCTCCTTTCCCTCCTTCAATCCCTCTCCGATTCTCCTGTTGTAAGCTGACTCCATCCAGTCCTGACCTGACCACGTTGCTGGAGAGTGGGGTGAAGCGACCAGTAGAGAAAGTCTACCATGCACTTTCATAATGTTGGAGAAAAAGGCTCGAAGGGTGAATGTGATATCCAGACTTCCGGCATTCCCCTGCGCGCGCGCGCGCGCACACACACACACACACACACACACACACACACACACACACACGCAGCTTTCCTGGTGAGGTGTAAATGTTTTGCTTGTGGAAGGGATTAACGGTGACGGACCTCCTTTGATTCTGGTCCCAGCTACGGCAGTTGGCCAAACTTCTCTTTCACTGCCCTCTGCTGGCCTTTGGGCTCCTGGGTCCTCCGTTCTCTGTGGAAGAGGACGGAACGCACTGCCCTTCAGGTTTGGACCTGGTTCTGCACCTAAAGGGTGAAGAGGGATGGTGACGGTTCTTCGGTTAGGAGCACTTGCTGCTCTTCCAGAGGACCCAGATTTGGCTCTCAGAACCCACGCAAGTGGCTCGCAACTCTCTGTAACTGCAGTTCCAGGGGCACATAAGACAATAAAACAATTTAAAAATTTAAGAAGGAGGAAGAAAACAATGTGCGAGGACCATAGCGTTGTATAACAGCTTCCTCCAAGATTGAAACATCCCATCCTTTATAAACAGGAAGGGAAACAACTCAACAATAAAATCTCACTTGCACCGGGCCTTTAATCTCAATACTCTGGAGGCAGAGGCAAGTGGATTTTTGTGCATTAGAGGTCAGCCTGGTCCACAGAGTGAGTTCCAGGACAGCCAGGGCTACACAGAGAATCCTGTCTCTAAAAACAAACAAACAATCCCATTTCTTGCTATTTGGAGAATGGGTTATAATAAGAGTGGAATCCGGGACTTCAGGTAACCAGGAGACTGTTGCTGAATGAAGACAGGAGAAAAACGATTGTATTCAGTTGGCACTGGAGAAGAATGAAAGCTCTGTTTTGGAGAAAGTGAGTTTGACATGCCTACTGGCATTTCAAATCCAGATGTATGAGGAAGCTGAGTGAAGGTAGACAGGCTCAAGTAAAATATTGATAGTCAGCAAATGATAATCAAGTCTTAAAATTGAAAAACAGGGACAGAGGTCTGTAAATGAGAGAGGGGAGAGGGAGGGAGAAGGTGGGGGAAAGAGAGCAGGAGCAAGGTGAGGTCCAATTTCTTTGGTAATATATTTATGTGTGTGGCTGTGGTTTTGCTTTTAGCCTGGGTATCACACTGTGGCCTAGGCTGGCTTCTAGCTTAGCCTCGGAGGCCTGAGAAATCAATACTGTTTTCTCATTCATCTCTTCTAACCACGCTTTCTTTGAAAGCTTCGGATTGCAGAAGGAAGGCAAGAGCTTGGAGAGAAAGGACCCTAAGGTGGAAGGGTGGGGTTCTTTTTAGACCACATGATATTGCCCTTTGCTAAAGTTTCAGTTGTTTCTTTAGTGTGGACTGGGGCCTTCCAGTGGGAGAGATCAGGTGAGACCCGGAAAGAGTTCTACAAGAGAAAATTTTCCAAGACACCCCTCCTTCCAAGTGTCTGTCTCAGACCCAAGATTTGGGTTTAGGAAAGGAAACTGAAAAGTAGCTTTGTGCCTCCCTCGAAATTGACCTCAAGTGGCAGCAGCAAGCAGAGACTCACACGTGCACACTGCCACCCAAAGCAACAAAGAAGGACGTTGGACTGTGGTTGTGAGGATGCTCTGTGCCTCCGATCCCCTGCAATCCTCTGCGTCAGGACTCAAGTCTCAGAACTGCTGAGCAACTTTAGGCAGAGGGCGAGTCCAAGAAACGTTGAGCTCTGCGTGTCTTGCTACAAGATCTCTGTTCTGTCACTTACAAAAGGTTAGGTGAGAAAATAACACGTTCGAATAATACCAAATAGTACCTTCTCTATAGTTCAGAATTCCTTGCCCATTTAAAAGAAATTAAAATATAAGTCAGAAAAGTTAGATGCATGGACTGGAGAGATGGCTTCACCCCCCTCCCCCAAGATAGAGTTTCTATATGTAGTCCTATCTGTTCTGGAACTCGTCCTGTAGACCAGGCTGGCCTGGAACCCAGAGATCCACCTGCCTCTGCCTCCCAAGTGCTGAGATTCTCAAGGCATGCTCACCACCCGGCTGAGCAGTGGCTCTTGCAGAGGACCTGGGTTCTGTTTGAAGCACCCACAAGGTGGCTCACAACTATCTGCAACTTCAGTTTCAGGGGCTCAACTCCCTCTTCTGACCTTGGCAGACATGCAGTGCACATTCATACATTCAGGCAGAACACTGTACATACACGAAATAAAGTGAACCAATCTAATAGTTAAAACACACTCACATGGACCAGGCATGGTGGCATGATGTCTTTTTTTATTCTCAGCTCTTAGGAGACACAGGCAAAGAGAATTTCTAGTGATTGACCAGCTGGGGCTGTATCATAGCATGTCTTAGGTCATCCTGAACCATATAGCAAGACTCTGTTTCAAAACCCCAAATGAAGCTGGTGGTGCACAGCTTCAATCCCAACATTCAGGAGGCGGAAGAACGCAGATCTCTGAGTTCTAGGCCAGCCTGGTCTACAGAGCAAGTTCCGGGCAGAGAAATCCTATCTCCAAAAACAAACAGACAAAAGAAAGAAAAGAAAACAAAGTGGTGGGACTAGAGTTGTTCTTAGTGATAGAGTATCCCAGTATCCCACTGGGCAAGCTCCTGGCTTTCATTACCAGCACAACTAAAGAAACATATAAAGCACCATCTCATTTATGTCAAGCATACTTAAGTAATACACTGATGTCTACAACTTTAAAATGTGTAGCAAAAGAATGGATTGATATACAAAATGACAAAGGTATGCAAAAACAAATATTAACATAAAAAGGTAGTGGCCATATGATTATTTACTGTAATTTAAAAAATTACAATGTGCTGATGAGTGGAGGTGCATGCTTTTAATTCCAGCACTCGGCAAGGAGAGAGAGGCAGATCTTTGAGTTCAAAGCCAGGTCTACAGAGTTTCAGGACACCCAGGCTGTTTCACAGAGAAACCCTATCTTGAAAACAAAACTAAATTACAATGTGTGTGTGAGAGAGATATACAGACAGACAATGTGCAGATGTGGAGGTCAGAGGATAACTTAGGAGTGTTGGTTCTCTCCATCCACCATATGGGTCCCTAGGATCAAGTTCAGGTTGTCAGACTTGGTGGCAGGTTCCTTTACCTGCTGAACCATTACTTGGGCCATGCTGTGAAACTCTTTCAACCCTTCGGCATTGTATTTGCTAGAATATTTACCGGGATCTGAGAATTAAAAAATTGCACATTTTTGTCTCAGTAGGTACAGAGTTTCTATGTGAGATGGTGGAAAAGTTTTAAAGTTTTTAATGTTTATTTAAATACATATATATACATACACACATACATATGCATATGAGCATTTTGCCTACATTTGTATGAGTACCAGAAGGTGTTGGATCCCCTAGAACAGAAGGTTGTGAGCCACTGTGTAGATGCTGAGAACAAGTGCTCTTAACCTCTGAGCTGTTTCTCCAATTTCAATGAAAAAGGTCTGAGGGTTGGAGAGATGGCCCAGCAGTAAAGAGCACATGTTCACCTTGCAGAAGACCTGAGTTCAGCTCCCAGAACCCACAGGTGGCTCTCAGCCATCAGTGTCAAGGGAGTCAACAGGCACATAAGTGGTGCACATGTAGGCAAAACACGCATGCAGATAAAATAAAGTAATTCTTGCTTGTTTGGTTTTGGCTTTTTGTTTTGTTTCTGTGTAGCCTTGGCTTTCCTGAAGCTCAGCTCTGTAGACCTGTCTGGCCTTGAACCCACAGAGATCTGCCTGCCTCTTCTTTCTTTAAAGAAGAAAAAGTTTTGAAAACAGAATTTGATGGTTGCACTTCAGAACTAAGTGGTTGCAGTGGTAGATGCATGGAATCACAACAGTTAGATGCAAGCAGAATGATTAGAAACTCAATGTCATGTCCCTGTAAGTAGCAACTTTAAGAAATATGAGGCTAGCCTTGGATAAATGATGTCCTGGAGGGGGCTGGGGAGAAGAAAGAAAGATGAAAGAAGAAAGAAAGGAAGGAAGGGAGGGAGGGAGGGAGGGAGGGAGGGAAAGAAAAGAAAAGAAAAAAGAAAAGAAAAGCAATTTAGTCTGTAGTGGCTGTCATTATCTATAAAACGCGGCTACTCGACTCACCTGGAAGAACCTTCCAGCCATGTAATTTCAAGCTTCAGTGAAGGGAAAATAATAATTAAAAGTTTTCAAAGCTGGATCGTGTCAGGTGCCTGTAGTCATAGCTACTTAGGGGGCTGAAGGAGGAGGCTCCGTTAAGACAGGGAATTCAAGGGCAGCCTACACACTGTGGCAAGACCCCAGCTGAAAAAGAACAAATTCTCTGAGGAGCCAAAGCAACCAGAGGACAAGTACTCGCTGGCTTCCTTTATACCCTCTGGACCTGACACTGGTCTTAAAGCTCCTCATCCACAGGTTTCAGCATGGTAAAAGAGACAAGTGTACAGAAAAATTCTTAGGAGGGCAGAGAAGGGTGAAAAGAATCAGGGAACAGAGAAGCCGACCTGGCTGGCTCGAGGAAGGGCCTGCCCGGTGGTTTTGTGGGTGGGAACAAGGTGTGAAAAGGACTAGGCAGATTTTCCCCAGTCGAGTGTGTGTATGTTGGGGAGGGAGGGAGAAGGACAAGAAAAATCTTCAGAGCCGCTCTGGGTGACAGCACGCCACACGCCAGCAGCCGCGGCCACTTCCCTCCCGCGCCACGGCCCCCCGTGGAACTCCAGACGCACGCACGTCCCTCCGCCAGGAAAAGCCTGGTTCCGGTGGGTTGCTCCACCGGGTCTCCGCGGAGTTGGAAGCCGAGGAGAGGCCGGCCCGAGGGCACGCCCCGTCCCCTGATTGGCTAGAGCATGCACAGCCCAGGCCAGTGATAGGGTGATTCTTCTGTTCCCGGAGTTTGAATGTTCTCAGCGCCGCAGCTTTGCTGCCTGCCGGTTCCGATCGGCTTTTTCCTCCGAAAGCGACGAGTCGTTCTGTCGGATCCTTGAGGTGGGAGACAAAGAACGTGACTATTTTAGGGATCCTCGCCGGGAGAGGTACAGAGGAGCGGGTCGGACGGAGGGACGCTGGATTCCTGGGCCGGAGGTTCCATCCTTTCCAAAGCACGGGAATCACACTGACCCTGATACCTACTAGTCTGTGGAGGGGGTGTGCCTGTCTCAGCCTGTTTTCACTCCTCCCAGTCTGGGTAGACGTCCCCGATGGGTCCCGTACTCGTGTCTTCTTAGGCAGGCTTATTTCTGAGCAGGAACCCCTTTCTCATGTGGCCGTTGCAGGACAAGCGACGCTCGCCAGCCCCGCGTGAGTTTGACACCGCCTTCCACGGCTCGGAGAACTGCAGCAGGGGACGCTTCTCCTCGCTCCAGGGTCCTAGGCGTCTCGGTGGCACCTTCGGTGACCAGTGAAAAGCTCCTGGACCCTACGTGGCCTGGACAGGCCTTTTCGTCACGGCATCCGTGCCGCCTGTTACATCCCGTTTTTCTGTGACTTTGCCTGCAGAGACCCCGGAGATGCTTTCCGGCACCCAGGGGGCGACAGGTGCATGTGAGGACGCGGAGCTGCGCTGCCGGGTGGCCGTGGAGGAGCTGAGTCCCGGAGGGCAGCCTCGCAAGCGCCAGGCTCTGCGCGCGGCGGAGCTGAGCCTGGGTCGAAACGAGCGCCGCGAGCTCGTGCTGCGACTGCAGGCCGCGGGGCCGGCGGGGCGGCCGCGGTGCTTCCCGCTGCGCGCCGCGCGCCTCTTCACCCGCTTCGCCGCGGCCGGGCGCAGCACGCTGCGGCTCCCCGCGGAAGGCGCCCCCCGGGCTGGCTCCGTGCAGCTGCTGCTCTCCGACTGTCCCCCCGCGCGCTTGCACCGCTTCCTGCGCACGCTGCGCCTGAAGCTGGCGGCCGCCCCGGGGCCGGGACCCGCCTCTGCTCGCGAGCAACTCCTAGGCCCGCGGCCCCGAGACTTTGTCACCATCAGTCCAGTGCAGCCCGAGGAACTGCGGCGTGCAAAGGCCACCCGGGCTCCAGATTCCGTGCTGGAGAAGCAGCCAACGGAATCCAAGCCTAATACCGTGAGGATCAGAAAGGGAGTGGGCGTGCTACTGTTGAAGATGCAAGAGAGCCGGGAGGCCCAAGGTTGGGGGAAGATGGTCCGCAATATTAATTGGATCTCTGGTGATCTGAAATGCCCATCGGACATCATTTGAGTATGGTCCCAGGGATGCGTGCTTCCCCGCCAGTAATTCCCGAGATTGGGATAAACTGAGAACAGGAAACTAGGCCAGGCCAAAGAGATAGCGGCAGGGGAGACTAGGCATGGAAACTTGAGAAGGAAAAATGGGTGTTATAGCCCCAGAAGAGAGGAACTTTTGGAGAGAATGGAAAAGGACAGGGACAGGCAATAGTCCAATCACCTCAAGGGAAAACCACCAGGTGGGTCTGACAGACCTTTTAGATTAGATCCGGTGTGGTCACCAATCTAAGATGCCTGGCACTGAACTGGTGAAAAGCCAGAAACGGAGGTTAGTATTTGTTTGGACAAACCTGCTCAAAGTTCCAAGTGAAGTCGAGGGCAAGGCAGAGGGCTGTGTTGCGATGCACACAGACCGAACAGCACGAGGTTCTGAGGCAGCCCTGTTCCTGCCAGGACGCTCCAAGGTGGCCCCTGCCTGTGAAGAAGTTGAGCATGCACTCCACCAAACCGAAGCTCTCTGAGGAGCAGGCTGCCGTGCTGAGGGCGGTCCTGAAAGGCCAGAGCATTTTCTTCACCGGGAGTGCAGGTACTGGAGAAGGGGTGGGGGCTGGGGGCAGCCTTAGAACGGCACGCAAGATGAGGCCACCCTGACTTTGCCTACTGCCCAGGGACAGGAAAGTCCTATCTGCTGAAGCATATCCTGGGTTCCCTGCCTCCTACGGGCACTGTGGCCACTGCCAGCACTGGGGTGGCAGCCTGCCAGATCGGGGGCACCACCCTTCATGCCTTTGCAGGTAAGTGTGAACCCCTGGGCTTCGGTTAAGAGCAAGCCAAGCCTGTGGAAAGGAGGGGCGAGATGGGGGTGGGGAGAGCTGGGATCTCAGCAGAGACTGAAGAGTTTCACCCACAGGCATTGGCTCAGGCCAGGCTCCCCTGGCCCAATGTGTGGCCCTGGCCCATCGGCCAGGTGTGCGGCAGGGGTGGCTGAACTGCCAACGGTTGGTCATCGATGAGATCTCCATGGTAGAGGCAGACTTGTTTGACAAGTTGGAAGCAGTGGCCAGGTCAGTGTGTACAGCAAGGGCAGTCACTGAGGCAGTGAAGAATCTGGTGATTTCCCCCAAGGGGCTTGCCCACCAGCATCTCTAACGCACTTTCTGCTCCTATCCAGAGCTGTCCGGCAGCAGAATAAGCCGTTTGGGGGGATCCAGCTCATCATCTGTGGGGACTTCCTACAGTTGCCACCAGTGACCAAAGGCTCCCAGAACCCTCGATTCTGCTTCCAGGTACTGACCACGCCCTAGCCCTGGCCTTTGCTTATGGGGAGTTACACCCTGACTCTGAGCCTATGTCTTCTCTGTTCCCTGACTCCCCCCCCTCCTCACCAGGCCAAGAGCTGGAGAAGGTGTGTGCCAGTGATTCTGGAGTTGACTGAGGTTTGGAGGCAGGCAGATCCGACCTTCATCTCTCTACTGCAGGCTGTGAGGTTGGGCAGGTAGGTACTGGAAAAGGGGCCATGGGTTGAGGATATGAGCATGGACCTATAGTATGTTTTGGGGTGGCGGGCCTCATGTTGTCTAGGCTGGTGTAGCATTTGCTATGTGGCCAAGGATGACCTTGAACTCCTGATCCCCTTGCCCCCACCGCCTCAGTCCTAGGATTTAGAGGCTTTTGGTAACTACACCTGGTTCAGGAAACTGGGAGAGATGACTGTCCTCAGAAGCGAGAAGTCTGTACAGGAAAATAAGGTTGGGGAGGATGCTGGACAACTTAGGACAGAATATACTCAAGAATGTTATAACACCAATAAGTAAATAAGTATAATATTTGGCATTGGGCATTATGGCACACAACTGTAACCACAGGGCTTAAGACGCTGAGGTGTAGAATAGTGAGTCTGGAGGACTGGAGAGACGGATCAGTGGTTAAGAGCACTGGCTGCTCTTTCGGAGGACCCTGGTTCAATTCTCGGCACCCACATGGCAGCTCACAACTGTCTGGTCTGTAATGACGTAATGACTCCCTCACACAGATATATATGTATGCCAAAAACCAAATGTACATATAAATAAAGGGGGGGGGGGGCTGGAGAGATGGCTCAGAGGGTTAGCACATTGGCTGCTCTTCCAGAGGTCCTGAGTTCAATTCCTAGCAACTGCATGGTGGCTCACAACCATCTGTGGTAAGATCTGGGTGTCCTTTCTGGCGTGCAGGTGTACATGCAGGCAAAACACTGTAAACATAGTAAGTAAGTAAGTAAATAAATAAATAAATAAATCTAAAAAATAGTGAGTTTGAGGCCACCCTGGGCTGTTGAGGGAGATACTATCTCACACAAAAACGAAACAAAACAAAACCAAAAACCAAACAACAAACTGCTACCTATGCCATACTTCACGTAGAAACACATGCTAGCAGGCTGGGGAGAGGGCTCAGGCAGTAGAGCGTTTGCTACACGAGCATGAGGACCTGGGTTTGGATTCCCCAGTGCTCACGTAAAAAGTTGGGTTGACAGCATATGCCTGTAGACCCCTGTGCTGGGAAGTCAAAACAGGAGAATTCCTGAGCTCACTGGCCTGGTGAGTAAGCTCCAGGTTCAGTAAGAGACCCCATCTCAAAAACAAACAAGGTGGTGGCTCATGCCTTTATTCCCGGTACTCCGCAGGTGGGTCTCTGTGAGTCTGGGCCAGCCTGGTCTACAAATTGAGTTCTAGGAGAGCCAGGGCTACATAGTGAGACCCTGTCCCAAAAAAGCAAAAAACAAAGGCTAAAAGTAACCGAGGAAGACACTCAGCATTGACTTCCAGCTCTCTCTCATACGCACCACACAGAGAAAAAAAAAAAGAATACTCAGGCTAGCTATTTCAGCCAAAGCAGTAGGCAAGTGGCTAGAAGATTGTACCCTCAAGTCCAATCTGATGACAGGATGGCCAGGATTACAGGGTGTGAACACTGACATCTTGTTCCAGGCCTGCAACCCTTTGGCCCAGGCTCACCCATTACACCCTGCTTCTCTAGCGCACTGTGGGTTCGGCGGTGGCCAGTTTCTCTGGAGGCAGACGTAGGAGTAGGCCCACCTCTACACAGAGTGCAGCATCCTTAGCCCGACGCTCACTGCCCACATCTGAGGGACAAGTAGACCAACTGGGGCTTGGGTAGCAGCAAGTCTTGTCCTGGTGCCCTTTTGGGGTCCCAAGGCTTGGTCTGTGCAGCAGGCCCCCACCTTTTCTGGTGTCCAGGGGACTTCTGGCCTGACAGTGCAGCCCCCACAGATGTTCAGATGAAGTCACCCGCCAGCTCAGGGCCACAGCTGCCCATAAAGTGGGAAGAGATGGAATTGTGGCCACGAGACTCTGCACCCACCAGGATGACGTGGCCCTCACCAATGAGAAGCGGCTGAAGGAGCTGCCAGGTAAACAAATGCTTGCGCTTGGCAATGCCAGCTGGGAGGGGACCATCACACAGGTGTGACACTCCTCCACACATCCCCAGCAAACTGGGCCCACGTTCTATGTACATGTAGATGAAACTATGACCCCAAAGCTGTGGTGAGCTGATTCCAAGGCCCCAGATAGGCCTGAGCTGTCCCAGTCCATTCACCCACAACCATCTTGACCTAATACATTTTTGTTAGCTGAATAACAAGTCAATAATATATTACCTGTTTTCCCAACTTTGCTTTTCTAGGCGAAATACACAGTTTTGAGGCTATAGACAGTGACCCCGAGCTGGCCCAGACCCTGGATGCCCAGTGTCCTGTTAGCCGTGTCCTTCAGTTAAAGCTGGGGGCTCAGGTGAGCGGGAAACAGGGCCAGATCCCTGATTATTAATACTCTACCAAGGCTACTTAATAGTTGATGGACCTACTGTGACTACCTTCTCCCATGTTTGTCTTCAGCTTTCCCCCTTCTTGCTTCTTTTAACATCTAGAGCCCTCTCAAGCAATGCTGCTTTGGGCAAGCCTCTTTCTCTTACTGAAGCTCAGTTCCCAGGTGGACTGTCTCTCCCATGGTGACGTCCCCATCATGTAAGGTATATTACCCCTATAGTGGTATACCTTATAGATAGGCAGCTTCTGACCCCTCCCTTATGGGATGGACAAGAATGGTAGATTTTCCTCGGAATCCGTTGGGCACACATGGGGAAATGCAAGCATTATGGCTGAAAGAGGGATGGCAGGAGCTAGTGTCAAGAGCTTTGGTCCTCTAGGCAGAAATACCTCCCCCACTTTTTAAAAATAGGATAAGGATGCAGCCCCAGATGGCTTGGAACTTGTTATGTTGACCAGGGTAGCCTTGAACTCATAGAGATCCACCTGCCTCTGCTTCCCGATTGCTGTACTTAAAAGCGTGTACCACTATACCCGGCGAATTCTGTTTTTGAAGTCCTGTGATGCAGGTTACCCTCATGGCCTCATCAACTTCTTTCTGGGCAATTTCATGAATAATAAGCCCCTTTGACACTAGGTAAGGCCAAGATATTTCCAGGAAGATAAGTCCTAGAGGTCACAGTCAAGTCACCACAGAGGCGGTTGTGCTAAGATTTGGGATTCAGTTCCTTAATAGCCCACACCCTCTCTCTGAACCCTAACTGCAGGAGGGAGTCAGTCCTCCGTGGGTCTGTCCCCATCCCTGCACTTTGTCCTCCGCAGGTCATGTTGGTGAAGAACTTAGCAGTGTCTCGGGGCCTGGTGAATGGTGCCCGAGGAGTGATAGTTGGCTTTGAGTTGGAAGGGAGAGGTGAGTGGTGGTGGAGGGCCCTCATACTGCTTGAGTTTACTTCACAGCAGGACAAACCACAGGCTGGCTAAAAGGTCGGACTTCTCCATGCCTTCCTCAGGGCTACCCCGGGTACGGTTCCTGTGTGGTGTCACTGAGGTCATCCGCACTGACCGCTGGACAGTACAGGTCACTGGGGGCCAGTTCCTCAGCCGGCAGCAGCTTCCTCTACAGCTGGCCTGGGCAATGTCCATCCACAAAAGCCAGGTGAGTTCCCAGTGCAGGGGTGGGCAAAATAGGGTAGAGTGGGCAGGATATGCTGGGACATTCTGAAATGTATCTTAAAGACTATAAGGGAACTGGACTTCCCTGTGACAGGATGTTCCAGATCAGAAGCAAAATAAGCCTACCAACTTTCCTTCCTTTTCTCTCTTTCCATGGGGTCTCATTAGCCCAGGCTGGCCTCAAACTCATTATGTAGCTGTAGAGGACGTTAGCCTTGATCTTCCTACCTCTGTCTCCTGCGAGCTGGTATTACAAGTGTACACCATCATGCCTGGCTTATGAGGGTGCTGGGGTTCAATCCAAACCCAGGGCTTCGTGCCTGTTAGGCAAGCCTGCTACCAGCCAAGCCAAACCGAGCTCTGAACTTTTCTTTAGTGCATTTCCTAGTCCACATTCTTCTCTCTCTTTCTAGGCCCTCCTCTACCATTTCCTGACCATGATCAGAATAGGTTAATCCCTGTAATTACCATATGAAGTATGGATACAACTAGCAATAGTTGGTGATATACACAAGGTAGAAAACAAAGATGCTAAGAAACCTGCTCAGGCCTCAGAGCTAGTGGAGAGGTAGAGTTTAGCGCTATACAGATTTAGCACTGTACCTGTCTGACCATTGCCTGAGCTCTCTCTCACCCTGTCCCTCAACTCTTGCCTTGGTCCTGTGCCCCCACACTCCATTCCCCATCCCCTACCCATATTCAAGCCCGTGTAAGGCTCAGGTCTCCCTTGTTTGAGACTCTGGATGGGCGAGGCCACCTGGGAGCAGTAGCTGGGTTGGTAACAGTCATTTGAATGCAAAGGACCTGAGGATAAGTTGGCTTTTACTGTCTCTCCCTCACCCAGGGCATGTCTCTGGACTGTGTGGAGATCTCTCTGGGCCGTGTGTTTGCCAGCGGTCAAGCCTATGTCGCCCTCTCCCGGGCCCGCAGCCTCCAGGGCCTTCGCGTGCTAGACTTCAACCCCATGGTGGTTCGCTGTGACCTCCGAGTGCTGCGCTTCTACGCTACCCTGCAGCAGGGGAGGGGCCTCAGCCTGGTAAGGGGTCCTAAAGATGGACCTCCTAGGTGGGCAGGCTGAGAAGGACAGGAGAAGGCCTAGCAGGGAGACCCCTAGGGCAGAGAATCTGTGGGCTCCTTTTGGGTGGAGGCAGAAGGAAAGAGGTGTTGGCCCTCAGGCTGGGCCCTAAGGATTGGCACAAATCTGTGACTGGCTTTCTGGTTCTGACCTAGGAGTGCCAGGATGATGAGGAGGCAAACTCAGATCTGGAGAACATGGACCCAAACCTTTGACCTCAGCTGAGAGAGAAGACAAGCTTCTAGCTTCTTCACGGGTCAAGGCCCTAGAAAATAACCGGGGAGTGTTTCTTCCCTCATTCAGCCTGCTGGTAGGGTTAAGGGACATGATTTCCTACCTACTTACCAGCTCTGCCTCAGTTTCACCCCTTTCCCTGGAGAAACTTTCAGGGTCAGAAGCTGGAACTGGTGATGGTTACCAGAGGACAAAGCTCTCTCTACAAGAGATGGACACATGGCCAGAGTTCTAAGCTGCAGGCGGAGAAGCAGTGCCTGCAAGCAGGTGCTGCAGCAGCAGCAGGAGACCCCAATCAGGGCCTGTCTTCTTGCGCCGCATCTATTTATTTTGTGCGCATGCGCGCCACAGCGTACATGTGACGCTCAGAGGACAACCTGAGGAGGCTGGTATTCTCTTTCCCCCTGTGGGTTCTGTGGGTTAAATTCAGGTCATAGGGCTTGGTGGCAGGCACTTTTGCCTGATGAGCAATCTTGCTAGCCCCAGGATCTGTTTCAATTTTCTTCGTATTATCATAACAAAATATATGAGGCTGGTACTTCATGAAAAAATGATTTATTTTTAACTATTATTGGCTCACAGTTCTGAAAGATTAAGAACACGGAAGCAGCCTATGCTCAGCTTTGCTGAGGCTTCATGGTAGCTGGCACTACAGGGTGGGGACCCATGCAGGCAGGACCATGGGAGGACACAAGCAGCAGGAAATAGTAATTCTGTGGACAGCATTAATCCATTGCTGGGGCAGGACCCCCTCGCTTTACCTTCCGTGAGATCCATCTCCTGCGGGTTACGTCACCCTCACACTGCTGCACGAGGGACGAAGCTTCTGACACATAAACCTGTAAGGAAAACCGCCCAAACCATGGCAGAAGCCTAGAGGGGATTCAGACCAGACACGAGCCCAAGATAGTTACCTTCGCAGCTGAGCTCAGCCTTACACAGACCTGAGTAAACACCCTTCTGAGCCTGACCTGAGAACAGATACCGCAAAATGGGCTGTTTTTAGGGGAGAGGTAGGTATGGGGCACTGAAATGGATGTTGTCAGTTGTATTTATTTAGCCAAGTAAACTTGTGAGTTGTGTAACTGCCTCCTGCCTGGTCTCTCTCCCTCGTGAAGGGAGTGCACACAGGGGTGTTTATTCGGCCATGGCAAGGACCCAGATCACAGTGACCTGGGGTGAGGTCTCTGCGGTTTTGTTCATACTGTCATTTGGAAAGCTGAGTTATCTGAAGGTGGTAACAAACACTGGACCAATAAAGTGAGTAACTATCACCCACAAGTTAAGACAAAAATACTCTAGGAAAGTTCTAAGTTCAGGTTCTCCCTGAGACTCTGGCTTTGATATTCCAGTAGAGAAAGAGCCTTCAACAAACTATCTTTTTTGGTTGTTTTATTAATTAATTCAAATTACATCTTATCCATAGGCCCCTCCCTCCTCTGCTCCCAGTCCCACCCTCCCTCCCACATCCTCTCTCCCCTATTCCTGAGAATAGGGGAGACCCCAGCTCATTTATTCACATGAGGACTGAGTTTTTCCTCCAACAAACCAGCTTCAGTTTATAAAAAAAAAAAAAAAAAAAAAAGCATGACAGAGGGGCTTGAGAGATGGCTTGGTGGTTAACAGCCTATTTTGCTCCTGCAGAGGACTGCAGTCGGGTTCCCAGCACCTGTATCAGGCAGGTTATAGTTATAGCCTCCTGAGCTGGGTGCTGGGAATGGAACTCGGGTCCTCTGCAATAGCAGTACATACTCTTAACCTCTCACCCCTGAAGAGGTGTTTCCCCACTTCCCAGAAGTCACACCAGGAGATGTGTTCCCACGACCACCTGGGTGCCTGAAGCTCCTCTCCTTAGCAATCTCTCTGTGGAGATGCTCCTAGAAGGCCTGGACAACAAAGACAGGTGTGTCCCTGAGGGGACTGCTGATGTCAGTGCCCCCGAGGCAGGCAGGCATAAACCCAGCAATTCTTTATTTTGGGGGCATCTAATTTAACCTATCCTGGAATGCATATCGCTGGTGGGTATAGTAAAACCTCACTTCTGTCAGGAGTCAAGACACTCCACACTGAGGATGACACAGGTCCAACCACAGCAACCAGGGCTCCATCATGCCTTGCTGACACTTGGAGTGACCAACATCCACAAGCAACAATGACACCCGGGGTAGAGGCAGAAGGGGCGGCCTATCCAGGTGCCTCATCCTGGCAACCCTGCCACTTTCCTGGGTGCTCCCAGGAGACTCCCCAATCTCAAGGATCCTCCTTTCTGCCTCTTTCCCACAGCATCATCTGAAGGAACTGAATCTGGAAAGCAAATCTGGCAAAGACTGTCCTCAGGCAGCTTCAGGATTTTAAACCAAGAAGCCAGTGTGAGGGCTGGTTTAGAATGGGGGAAAAGGGCGGGGACAAGCAAAAGCAACACAAAGGGAAACATATTCCCATGATTTACCTTACTGCAGGTGATAAAGGGAACTACCTGTCCATCTTGTGTGATCATCCTCTTTTTCTCATGAATATTCCCATGAGGGTGATTGATCCCACACTGTAGATCCTAGGGTGCAGAGGGAGACCTATTACAATGGACAGAGTCCCAAAAACAACTACATAACCAAAAAAAAAAAAGTTCACTTATAGAATGGTGTTATTAGTCAGGGTTTCTAGAGGAACCGAACTGTTGGAATAATAAAAAGGGTATTAATAAGAATGGCTTACAGGCCATGGTCCAGCTAGGCTAGCAATGGCTGTCTACCAATGGAAGGTCCAATAATCCAGTTGTTTGGTGTATGAGGCTGTATGTTCAGTCTGTGCCAGAATCTTGAAGAACTATAGACTCTAATGCCAGTGATGGAATGAAGGTGTCAAAGAGAGCAAGAGCAAGCAGGCAAGGAGAGAAGCTTCCTTCTTCCATGTCCTTTTAATAGGCTGCCAGCAGGAGGTGCGGCCCAGATTAAAGGTGTATCTTCCCACGTCAAAAGATCCAGTTTAAAATGATTTCAAGTGATTAAATTTAAGAGAAAAAAATTCCTCATAGGTTTGCCTAACTACTTGGGTTTTGGTTGGTTGGCTTTTTGGTTTAGGGTTTTTTGTTTGTTTGTTTTTTGAGGGTTTGTTGTTGTTGTTTTCTGTGTAACAGAACCCTGGCTTCCTAGGCTGGACTCTAACTCACAGAGATCCACCTGCCTCTGCTTCCCAAATCCTGGGATTAACTGCGTGTACCACCACACTTGACTGCCACTTGGGTTTTAGTTCATTTCTGATGTAGTCAAGTTGGAAACCAAGAGTAGTTATCACAGATGGCCACAGAGAGGAACTCTGAGAAGAGGACATTTGAGCAGACTAGAAGCAGAGCGGATGAGGGCCTTCCTGATGAAGCCTGTGCTCCTGGATGACCCATCTAGCCTGGACCTGTTTCTAGACTAAACTATCCAGATTAGCCCTTCCAGCCTTGGCTCAAGTGCCATGACCCATTTAGGCTTTCAGGCAGTACGGTCCTTTTCTGAGTCTGAGCACATGCAGTGGGCTGTCCTTAGCTATAGGACTGTTTCCTTCATTAGGAAGCCTCTCGGGCTAGTAGTCGAGAGCCTGCCTATCTGCAGCACAAAGTGGCTGTGGGGCAAGCAACAGCAGGGGGATGAATAAATAAGAGGATGGAGAAATGCAAAGGCTACAGTGAAAGGAACCTGAACCTGCTAAAATGCTGCTGCTGCTAGGGGACGGCTCGCCTACTGTCCATCCTAATGGGATTTCCCAGTCCCACTCTCCAACAGGAGGGCTGAACTGTGTCAGATGAATAATAGACAGCAGAAGTTCATGTGCATGATCCCCAGTGGAGCTCAATTGTTGATATTTTGTATTTTGGGGATCTTTTCTATTCACCCACTTTATTTCTTAAGCAAATAATACATGGTGACATCCTCTCTCTCCTTCCCCAACTCCTAGTTCCTACCTGAGACTCCAAGCTCAGGATCTGAAGCTCCACTTCTCTTCTGCCCATCTATAGGCTGTCCAGCTTTTTAAAGTAGCCAATCAGAGATAATGGTAGCAAAATTTACATAAGAATGATCACAGTATGTGACAATGCACTGTCCTGACCAGACCCTGGGGCTCAGGATTCAGCATTTGTATACACAGAGCACCAGATCAACCCCCAACACTCAATAGTCCACTTCTCTTTTTCTTTTTTTTAATTTATTTATTTTTATTTCACGTGCATTGGTGTTTTGTATGTCTGTGTGAGGGTTTTGGATTCCATGGAACTGAAATTACAGACAGTTCTGAGCTGCCATGTGGGTGCTAGGATTTGAACCTAGGTCCTCTGGAAGAACAGACAGTGCTCTTGTTGTGCCAGATTTGGGAGACCCCCAAAGACCATCAGGAGTCGAGTCTGTTGCAAACAAACACACAATCTTTATTCTCAGCTCAAGCTGGGACTCTCACAGACATCAAGGCACAGAATCCAACTGAGAGCCCCGAGTTCAGGATTGAGGGTGATTTAAATGTCCCAGTCCCTCCCAGAGCCCAAAGCAGGGGAATTCCAGTCTGGCAAGCTTCTATTGGTTGAAACACAAAAGGGGATGTTGCATTTTAAAACAATTGGCTGTGGGAAGGTGCCAAAACCATAAATGGTTCTGGCTTTCTTTGTTCTCTCTTGTATGTGTGTGTGTGTGGGGGGGACATCCGCTCTTGGATTTCTGTGGGAATGTCCTGTCCTACGCTGATTGGCTGTTGCTAGGGGACAGGTGATCTGGGCCAGTTTCCTAGCAAGAGTATTTCTAGTGGTGGGAAGGAATGCAGCAAGGCTGGTCCCCACCCCACCCCTCTCACAGCTGGTCAGATATGTCTTCAGATGTCTGGGCCTTGGTTCAGGCTTGTGCTTTAAACTTTAATACAATAACCCCAAAACCTAATTTTTAATTCTTTGGTCTCTCACTCTTAACCACTGAGCCATCTCTCCAGCTCCGCCCACTTCTGTTTTTAATAG